CCGAGTGGGCTGGTCCTTCGCTGTGGGAGTCATGCTTGCTTGTGTTCTCCAAGTTATTGATGGTGCCCACGGTTACAGGAGCATCTGAGCATGCTCTGCTCTCTGGCAACCCCACAGAGCAGTTTCTTTTCCTTCCATGCCCCTTGTGTGTAGGGTGGTGGAGCCAAGGGCTGTTGCCAGTTGAATTGTCCCTGGAAAAAAGCCCTCTGGCCTGGCTAAGGTGGTTGAGGGAGGTGAAATGATTACTGCAGGTCCTTCAAGGATGAGCATCAGTGACTGGGGACCATGTGTGTGAGAGGTCTTTACCAAAACTTTATGGTGTGCAGTGGGGGAGGAACTCTGGTCTCCTAATGTGGAGTGTATCAAGGAGGCCTTCAGCCAGATCTTTTCCCTCTGGGGTCTTGGTTCCTGCCCGCCATTTGGCAAGCTACTTGTTCTGGACAGCCAGCTTAGCTTTCAAAGAGGTCTTCTGGCCTGAAGAATGGCCCTGAGGCTCCAGGGAGCTCCCTGTGTAGGTAGGGCTCCCTGCCCAACGGTGTCTATAAGTGATGATGTGCCCTGAAGACTTAGGGAGCCAGTGTAGCCCCTTCAGGCTATGGTCAGACCCAGCTCTCTTCTGAAAAGAGCAGTCTGAAGAGAAGAGCAGCCATGCTGGCTGAGTAGTTGCAGCTGCTCCTCACTGCCCTGTGCTAGAGCTGGTGGTGACCTGCCAGGGAGACATTCTGGTGCAGGATACATTACCAATAAAGTTTTATGGGGTTAAACATTACTCAGGCTGCAGCTTGGAGCTGCCTGGTCTCCAGGCTGGAGCCCTTTCCCTTGCAGAGCCCAGGCAGGGTGGAGCAAGGTGGTGGGATGACTTTTGCTCACAAACTGGGCTGAAATCTCAAACCTTGGTCTTAGTGTGCTGAGCCCTCTGCTCACACTAGTAGAGGTTGGTGGGATGTTCTCCAGGACAGCTGCAGTTCTTCCTCCTGAGACTAGTGTTGGCTGGAGGACATTCATAGGGATGGCTGGAACTGCAGCAGCTCCATAGACCTCAGTCCTGGAGCAGGCATGAAGTTGGAGGCAGCAGCTAAGCTGAGAACTTCTGCAAAACACTTAGACCTGAGCTGCTCATCCTGTTGCAGCTCTGTGTCCATGCCTGGTTGTGGGGAGGTGGCCAGCCTTGGTGCTGCACCCCTGTGACCTCCTTTAGAACTGCCCAGAGGGCTGGCAGGAGTGACAAAGGGCTGGAGATGGTGCAAGGCTGGCCTGGTGGTGGCTGGTGTGCTGGGAGCCATGGGTGCCTGGCTGCTGCTCTGGGCACTGCGGCCCCACCGAGGGGCCCCGGCAGGCACCGGGCTGTGGGTTTTGCTGCTGTGGCCTGACCCTGCTGAGAGCCTCTACCTGTGGAGACTCCACTGACTTTAAGACTGTCCCATCTGCCTTCCCTCCCTCCCACCCTCTCTCAAATGCCTCCTTTGATGTCCCTAGTGACCTCCAGCCATGATGCCAGCGCAGGCTAGCCCTGAAGCTCAGAGCTGTCCCTGGAGATGGGGACACCCTAGTGATGCCTTATTGCAACTAGTGGAGTGGCTGTACTACAGCTCCATTCCTAGAAGTGTTAAGCATGATGGCAGCCACGTCTGGAAAGACTGGTAAGGTAACCATCTCTCCTCCAAGGTGCACCATGGGATTTGCAAGCTTCTGCCCATCTCTGTAGCCCGTATCTCCTTGGCAACCCAGTGCATGGGCCTCACGCTACCCACCCACCAGAGCCTGGGGAATGAGATACCAGGCCTTCTTTCTAACCCACATCTCCAACTCGGCAGCACCTGACATGGCGCACTCAGCATGGCACCATCTTACATCAGCTCCTCCCAGCCGAGCCAGGCTGGGCAGGTCCTGCCGCTGGGAGGGGAGCAGCCTGGTTGAGCCGGGGCAGAGACAACCCTGCTGCTCGGCCTGAAAGAAACCTGGTTTCTCCCCAACCACGACCCTTCGAGGGCAACCAGAAATACACCTTGACCTCACTCCTGGCACACGGTGGGGGAGGTGAGTGACGTGACAGTGACAGCACACAACTAAATTCTAGTGGGCACGTTAGACAACAGCACTTGCCGGTCACTTTGTTCCTGAATTGCGTACTGGGACAGACCCTGCCCCTCCTTGTGGGTCTAATCTCACCTCTTTCCTCTCCAGTTACTGGAAATGGAGCAAGTTCCTACCTGGAGCTTTGCTTCTCTCTTCCAGCCTGAAGGCACAGGCAGCTTGTGGGTCCCATGAGCTGTAACGAAGGGAATCGACGGCCTGGGAGAGCTGGAAGGGGCGTAGGGAACTGGGAGCTTTGGAAGAGGGAAGGTGGTCTGGCCTAGGACTGGTTGGCAGGGAGGGTGGTTGCTGTGGTCAGCTCTGAAGTTAACAGAGTCCTGACTCTGTTCTTGCAGTGGTTCTGCACCTCCATGTGGTAGCGATGGTGGGGAAAGAAGTCACCAAAGATGGGGTCCCAGGTCTGCCTTTACCCTTAGAACACTGTGGAGGTGCAAAGATGTGCAGAGCTGGATTCCTGGGAAGATGGGCAAGGCCTGACACAGGGATAGAGCCAGTGATACGTCTTTTCTTGTTCTCCTGGGACCTGGTGGACAGTCTCATTCCTTGCCTGTGTGACAGAGTTGGACTGCATTTGGTGTCTGTTGTGAAGCCACTTGTTTTGCAGTGTCTGCAAGCCAAGATCTGAGTGGGCAGTAGGAGGCACCACATATGACACACTGATGCTTCTGGAGGTCTTCTGCAGAGAGATGCTTTAGCAGCATTTCTGAGGGCAGGACTTGCCCCAGGAAGCAGGGACTAAGTGAAGGACGTGGGCAAGGTTGGTGGTGGTTACCACATGGTGTTTGTA